ATGCCATTTAGAGGTTTCCTATGCTCTATCTTCTTTTATTTTTTGAAAATAGATATTTCATTCCACAAATTAGTTTTAAAATTCAAAGTTTGAATGTATTCCAATATTGTGTTTCCGTGGTTCCAATGTGACAAAAAATAACCAAAATTTTGTGAATTAAACCTAGCCTAATAAAATTGGTATTTAAAATAAGAAGCTTTTTATTCTTTCAAATAAAGTCTCGGTTCAACATGATGATGTTTTTTTGGCATTGTGCGGCTGGTGGATTTTGCGTATATCGATATCTTAGTTATTAGCGAGGGGTAAGCACACTGATTTTTAAAAATTAAAAATCGCATACGAATTAACGGCTAAGGATAACAATCCCAAGGGTAGTCATGCGCAACGCGTCGCTAAGAGAAATTTCTTATTGATAAGGTTTTTTCCTTATTGATAACGACTGATAAGGAAACAAAACGTCCACATATTATGTGGACGTTGTGTTATAACGTTAAACGTTGGTCTCGCTGATTTTAAAGTGGTTTACCCCTCGGTTATTAGACATGGGACCAACACAAAATTTATATAAGTTCATAACATGATACTTATGTAGTATCATGGTTCATAATGACACTAAATTAAATTCGGTGCAAGCAGAATTTAAATAGAAGTTTAGGAAATGAGACGAAATTAGCTTAACACTGACAGAAAATCTTTCAGTCAACTCTGGTTTGTATCCTGATTGCCTAAAGGTTGCTTCAGTTGTTCATATATATATATATATAAAAAAGGCTGCCAGGATAGCAAACTGAATTACAGGCCGATTTTAGTACTGTGCATTATCAAAAATTTTTGAAAAAATAATATACAATAGAATAATAGATTTTCTAAATAAGTATAACCTAATAACTGACTCACAACACGGTTTCAGAAAAAACTTTTCAACTGAAACAGCAGCCATTCAGCTTATGCAGTTTGTTTTTGATGAACTGGATAAGGGTAAACATGTTGTGGGTCTATTTTATGACCTTAGTAAGGCTTTTGACACAATAAACGCAAGCTTTCTTATAGAAAAATTATAATTAGATATATCTAAAATTGGGTTTAGAGGTAAACTTTTGGAATCGTTGCGATCATAAGTGTCAAATAGGCAGTTTAAAGTGAAAGTTAATAGTTCCTTATCTGAAAACTTTAAAAATGATCTAGGTGTTCCTCAGGGTTCGGTTCTAGGTCCTCCTTAGTTTTCATTTTATATAAATGATTTACCTAAATTTATTATGGGTTAACTTAAATGTATGCAGATGATACATCGGTTGTGGTATCAGCACCGAATCCTGAGAAACTTAAACAATATGTTGATGAGTTTTAAAAAATGGTGCACCAGAAACCGTCTTATTTTAAATTCTGAAAACTGAATATGTAAACTTCTCTATCCGTTTAAGTGGCTTGAGTAACCTTAATAACCTTAATTTAAACATATCGAAAAAGGTGAAATTTTTGGGGCTAATAATGGATGCTAAACCAAATAGATAACCTTTGCCAAAAACTAATTAGCGCTTAAGCGCTTCAAACTTTGCCCTAATGACACTAAACAACGGTCTATCTTATACATCACTCTTAAATGCCTATTATGGACTTTTTTACTGGCATACATCATCAAATAGAGTATTTATTATGCAAAATCGCGCAATTCGAATAATGTTTAACCTACCTGATAGGGCTTCCTGTAGAGATACTTTTATAAATAAATAAATACTAACATTGTATGGAATTTATATATAGAGTATTATGAAGTTTGTTTTTAATAACTTAGGAAAATTCCCAACTGATAGTAATTTTCACTCATATTCCACAAGAAGTGGCTCAAGATTTTGTGTTCTGAGACACACAACTTCTTTGTTTAAAAAGTCACCCTGTTTTTCTGGCATCAAAATTTTTAACAATTTGCCAAATTATATTAAGAAAACAAAAAATTATAATGTTTTTAAAAGACAACTGAAAGGAATGTCCTTATGAACTGAATAAGTTTTTAGGATAAATTTGTAGGTATTTCCGAGTATATTTACTTGTATTTCTGTTACTTGTCCTATACATATGAATATTATCTATGTCAATTGGATTAATAAATTATTATTATTATTACCTTAATTATTTATAGTAAAGTTACGTGGTGGGAATTTGATGCAATCACAGAACACAATAATTGTGTATATAATTATTGTACAATGAAAAGCTAAAATGTCATCATGTCATTAAAACCTTAAGATATTATTTAAGTAATTAAATGCTTAAAAAATAGTAGGTACCTATATAAAACCTGACTGCGACAACGTATGTATTAATTGCCTCGAACACAATCTACTGCCTAGGCAGTAAAATGTATGCTCGGCGATAATATGTGCTTTCTCCGCCTGGTCTATAATGTACTATCGTTTAAGGTACTTCCTCTATGACGTGGCGACATGTATATTTAATAGTTTCCTTTAATAATGCAGTGTTCCTTTTTAGAGTGGAAAATTTTAGAGAGGAAAACAACTTAAAATGTAACATTTGAATATTTCCCAATCGTTTAGATTTGGTGTTATTTGTTATAAAATTACTAACACCAATATTTCTAAACGTAAATTTCAAATTGCAATGCACATACGGCAGTGGAAATACGCACACGCAGCTGTTACATAAAAGTAGCTAGGTAACCGTTTACAAAAATATTAATCGAAATGTTAGTTATCATTGGATTGTAATTAAAGTTTACAGGTCAAGCTGGAGAGTACTTAGGTGCTCGTGTGAGTTTGGAGGAATCGACCTATAATTAAATGAAAATAGGGGCAGGGCTCATTGTAACAATTGATTTATAGCGATAAAACAGGAATTTAATTATAATTACAGGCGAAAATATAAATGAGTCATTTGATTGATAAAGACTGCATTAAAACTTATAAAAAAAATTGTAAATACAGCCGATGCCATTTAACATAAATAATCCTCATTTAATAATTGTATAGTTAGTCAACTAAACACATTTTAAATATTTAGAAGGCTAATTGTAGTCTGCATAAATTTACTTTTTACCATTTAAACAACTGCCAAATGCAGTTGTCTTGACAGAAGACAATCGGTTGGAAATTTGTGGATATTGGAGGCTTTGATTGTTTTGTGGGATACTTAAATAGATTATAATAAACTTTGAGATGAAAACTGGGATATAAAAGTGAGGGCAAAGCTGCCGATTGGACGCTAATTATCAAAACATGCATGGCCTTTACTGACTTACCTCTCCGCTTTCAGCTGCCGGAGAATCATCCGATATATTGTAGATTATAGGCGGTAGTCCTGGTTTCCCGAGCAACGAAAACCCAAACCCTGCACCGGAATTTTCGCTGCGATTTAACACCACTAATAATTCTTCAGCCATTATCGGCAACCATCGATTTCAAGAAAAAAACAACACTTGAACGACACAACTACTAACTTTCACGACATAACCTCCATGACTGAGTAATGCAGCTGGGCGGCCGCCAGGTGCCAGTACTGGTCGGGTCGTGTGAACGGAACGAACCAGTTTGTCCTTGCGGTAGGTATCTGCACTCAAATTCGCATTCGAACTTCAGTAGAGAGTGGGTTTTGAATTTCCCGCTTATATTGAATCAAGTCACCATTGGCGTACGCATGGCACCATGTTTATTTGTTTTTAAATGGTGAATAGTTTTGACAAGTGTCATTTCCAACTTTATTTAGTTGCGTTTAAGGATTGTGGTGCCTAAATAAGGGTAAGTATTATACTTAAAGTACCTATATGTAATTATTATTTATGTTTACACTGCTTTTTAAGTAGGTAAGTTCCTATGTATTTTTTTCTTAAAAATAATAGGTATAAACTTAAGCCTTATACCTATCACAATCCACACATTGTGGATTGTGATATATGGTTTAATTTAAACCGGTTAAAACAGACTTAAAAACAAAAAATGTTTTCAATTCTCGAAATTTGAGTTACCTATGTTGCTTGCGATACTTTGACAGGAAGTCATCGATATGTCCGACATCTTTGGTTTCTAATGTTAATGTATAATAATTATAATTATAATTTCATATTTTTTTATTAAAAATAAAGTAAGGTTATGATGGTTTTGTATAAATAGACAATAATCTAATGTTAAGATAAATGTTAAGACAATAATCTAATGTTAAGATAAAAGCAGCAGCTTTAGTGGCAGATTTAAGCTTTAAATTTCCAAACAAACCCTAAAAAAGGAGAGGCAAAAAAATGATTACCTGTGAACGTAAGTAAATTTTAACAAAAAGGTTGATAATGTAACGGTTTGATAGTCACAAATTTTAGTATACTTCTTATACTTTCACTAAAAAATGTTTTGGAAAAGAGACAAGGAAAAAAGCAGTATTTCTATCCAATAAAATTGTCGATAAAAGCCACATGCGCAATTACTGCATAAATCTGCGAATATGATGGAGTTGTGATAACGATTAAAGCCGCTCTTAAAGAGCGTCGTCGCCATCGTTACAAGCGACGAAACGTGTTTTAAAAGAAGTTGCATTAACGATAGCGGCGACGTTTTTGTCGTTTATCACAGCTTCAACATACCGCGAGTATTTTGGAGCTATGATAAACGATAAAAGCGCCGCCTTTTTCCTGTTAACGCATAACAATGTTATTTCTAACCCCTACATAGGTATATGCCATATACTATATGCCATATAGTATATGGCATATACCTATGTAGGGGTTAGAAATAACATTGTTATACTATATGGGTTAACGTAACGATATCGTCCAAAATAAACAGAATCAATACAGCTATATTGATTTTATATTGATTTCATGTGCACATACCTATTTAAACGTTAAAATTAACCAACGTCCAATTGAAATGAATTTAAAAATTATTTTATTTTTTAATTTAAATTATAGGTAATAATTTTATCTCACCACGCTACTGCGTAAAAACGATTATACTTTTTCATAAAATCATTCGATCTCTCTCACTTTATCTGATAGAGTATGAGGAACAAGGACAAGAAGAGGTTAGCCAACGTTTTAAAATTGTTTTTGTGAATAACGTAGCGGATCAGTTCTGGTTTCTTAAAATCTCCAAATATTGCATTCATATTTTAAATTATTAAAATGTATATCGCCGCCACTTTGGTTAAAGAAACAGTGCCAAATTACTTATCTAGCTTGCCTATACCTAATTCTGTTGGAGGGTGGTTTCATTTAGGAGGTAAGTTTATTTTTTTTAACATTTGACCCAATTGCTAACATAACCTCAATTTTTAGTTAAAGAGTGGATGGCATTAGTGCCACCAACGGCTGCCTTGGCTGGATTTACTTACATAACCTACAGAGCATTCTGTCCCCATGGCAGACCTTGTCCCACTGGCAAAGTTAATGCAAGCATTTTAAAAAGCAATCCCAAAGTAGTTGATACCATTGATGTTGAAGATATTGCTGAAAAAGCTGCATTCTGTCGCTGCTGGAAAAGCAAAAATGTTAGTCCAAATCATTTTACTGGACCTGTGCAATTTATTAATAATTTTATTTTTAGTGGCCCTATTGTGATGGTTCTCATGCTAATCACAACAAAGAAACTGGTGATAATGTAGGTCCAGTTGTGATTAAAAAGTAGGATGTCCCTCCATTAGCTCAGTTTTGATTAAATTAGTATAGGGTGGGATAGCAAAAGCTTTTAATAAAGTACCTTCTTGCTTTGATTTTAAAATTTATACATTTATTGTTGTGTATATAATATTGTTATTAAATAATTAATTTTAATAAATTATTTTGCAATTCATTGTTTCTGGAATGGTATTAATTTTTTTGGTGTATGTATTTATTTCATAATTACTCAATAAACTAAATTTATATTATATTATTATAATGTTGATATCATTTTGATTACCAAACATTTTATTTTTATAATATTAAAATATACATTTGGTATAATACCTATAATATAATATTAAAATATACATTTGGTATAATACCTATTATTATGTCCTATTTTAACCTTTTTGAATTACCTACTTTTTAAAAATTTTGTAGAGCACTCTTAAAAATTTGGGTAGGTAGGTATATAACCCTCCAGACCATTTAAATTGTTATTTACAGGGTGTAGCTAAAATACTGTTACAAGGGGGACATTCCACGTTACTCAGTTATTTCTGTCCCACCCGTCACAATTGAAAATGGCGAGTAAAAAGTTTTTACTCGCCATTTTCAATTGTGACGGGTGGGACAGAAATAACTTTTTACTAAAAACCACAAGTTATTAAATTATTATTTTATAATATTATTTTTATTGTAAGCTTATAACAAACATAATAAACAATATATTAAAATAAATTTAATAACGTTTAGTTTTTACTCACAATTTTTAATCGTGACGGGCGGGACAAAAATTACCGAGTACCTAACGTGGAATGTCCCAAGGGTAGATTGCCCATGAAAAATGTACCTGAAAAATATATGATTCCGACAGTCTAGATGTTCTGTTAAAAAGTTAAAGGGTGTTAAAATTAAATTTTTAGAATTGATTTTCAGGCATAACTATAGTTAATATATTAAACCTTTTGATCGATTTTGAATATATACCTATTTTTTCATAATGATCAAGTAGCAAAGGGTTGCCACCGATAATGCTTTACTGTTTTATGCAAGCTTTATAAATGCATGAAAACATGCTATTTGTTTTCCCAGGTAGCACACTGACGTCTGCTGACGTTTAAATGACGTCAGAAGAGATGGCTTAAAAAACGGAATGTAGATCGGGTAAGTAATTTAGCCAAAGACTTTAAAATTGTTAAAATTAAGCGCATTTCAGTGGGCATCATACGTTTTGTGTCTCGGCAATCAACTTTAATCAGCTTAGTGTTCCATAAGGCAACAATATACCAAACAAGTATTTGATTAAAGCAATATGGAATTAACAAAGTACAACAATAAAGTAAAAAGGTATATCAATATCAAGTACAAATTGTCAGCTAAAATGTGTTTACGACAATTTGTCGTCGTCGTCGACAAAAACATACTATCTTCTTAAAACCTATTGCACTTAGCAGGTTTTATGACAGCTGTAAGGTAGGTTTTATGGCTGCTGTAAGGTGTGCCTTAGGAGTAATACAATAAAGCAAAGTTGCTTTGTGGCTGACACACACATTGCTCCTAAGTACAGCGATACGATTATTCTTTTTAGCCCTATGATGGTTTTATCGAAGCTTTATAGCTGCTGGTTTTAACTAAGCAAGGCAAATTACCCTTAAGAGTAGTTTTATGTTCAGTTGGCTTATGGGACTTCTTAAGAAGTAAAGGTGGAACTAAAAGAGCACTTTTGCACTTTTTTTTTGTATGAAGCCCTTGTATACCCTAAATAGCTTTTGTTAAAACAATCCTGAGGCGTAGATAAAGGTTATTTGCTCCCCTTTTTTACCGTATTTTCTAGGCCACTGGATATTTAAATATTTAAATTTAACGATCAATTTAAAAACAATAGTTGGGTACTCTTACAAAATTTTGATTAGAGGCACCGTTTCTGAGATATTTGAGTTTGAATGATGAAACTTTTCAAAACAAAGTCAAAAAGTTTTTTATGGTAAAGTGCCCAACAGGACACTCTACCCCCTCCTGGCCTTAAGTGCGAGCTCATATGGCTAATATTAGCCACTAAACTGTTAATATCATAGAAAAAGCTCCTTACATATAGAAACATTAATTGCGAATGAGGAATTCGAACCCACGTTCTTCGGTCGGCCAGCGAATACACTATCCGCTAGACCACCGGAGGCTCCTAAGTCAAGAAGTTAAAAAGTCGAAAAAAAATTGATTTGTTATCATAATCTATAATATTGAATAATTAGAATCTTTCAACTCTAATTTTAGAATAATAACCTTAATAATAATAGGGTTTAATAAATTAAGACACAGAAAAAAATAATTACATATTATCAATGTATGCCAAACATTGACCAATATTTTATTAAATTAATGTAGTTATACATAAATAAAATGTATAAATACATTAATAGAATGTTTAAATTTTATAAGCTCATGACCACGTACATTGATATTATGTATAGCATACATTAATATATATTATATAATGTACAATTTTACATAATATCAATGTATTGTAACGAACGGGACATGGGGGGCACACATTAATAATTAAAAAGAATATTAAAACCACAAAAAACTACCTTTGGCCAAAACACGTGATCGTCTAGTTTATAGAAATTAATTTAGGACCCCTTTTTGTTGTGAATACGGTTCTGGATACGTAAGTATTTGAGCAATTGAAAAGATATTTAAAAAGCAAAGAAAAAGTATTAAATTAAAATAAGTTTATTAATAAAGGCAATTAATACAAGAGTGAATTATTGTTACTGTACATTAATAATATAAATAAAAACATTTGTATTTGAAAAGTATGATTGATTTAAGTTAATAAGGTAAAACCTTAAAAACCCACATATACAATACAGATATGCATATGTCGCACATCTCAACAATATAAATAATACAACAAAATCAAAGTAATCAATATGAATATAATCAATTATATTATCATATTGCTAAGATTATTCACCTACATAAATGGTAGGCTCGGACGGTGAAGAAAAGCAAATACACATTGAAATAATTATCAATGTACAGCAACAAACAACAATAATGTGAAACATAAAGTATAATATAACTTAGGTCACAAACAATAACAATAAATGGTTGTGATAAATAAAATATATAAATCACAAGTGGTGGACAAGAGTTATGCAATAAAATTGATGTACAGTCATAAATGATAAATAAAATCAGGTATGATAAAGTAATAAAATTATGTCAGTGCAAATCAAATATAGTAAAATAAAATGATTATCAATATATTAATAAAATAAGACAATGTCATAAAAACTCACATCATGAGCCCTACCTAGCATTTATTGTAAAGATGGGTGAATTGATACTTACGATACGTACAAGTCTCCGGGCTCGACCCCCTCGACCGATACCAACACCGTTAAACAATAAAAGAAAATTCTAACAAGTGTTTGGTGTGGCGAAATTGCAACAAAGTCTCAACATATTAAATAATGAATATCAATTTATCAAATAAATAAAATAAGATAAACTGTACAAAATAACGTATATAAATGTTAAATATAAATATGTAGTAAAATGTAAAATTACATTAAAATATAATATGTTAAAGTAAATGTAAAATAAATATAATAATTATAAACATAAAATAATAATAATAAATTTGTAATTTGGTTTGCCCAACAAAAACCTTTAAGATAAAAACAATTGAACTTATTCCTTCTCTCACTTAGAACAAGTTGAAATAATAATAATAAAATATAGTTTAAATTAAATATTAAATAATTAACCACTCATTATGATATTTCTGACCTCAGATTATAACATAACTAAATATAGAAAAGACATACCTATTTAAATGAACAACACTTTCACAAAAAACTGAAGTTATATAAAAAACAATGTATTATTTGTTAAATTCACTCCCTTATAAAATTAAAGAATTCAACTCTTCCCTTCAAATAGTAAAACGTAACTCTCTCTTCAAAAAACAAAACCCAACTGACTAAAAAATACTGACTTCCCTAATTTTTAACACGCTCTTTTTATGTTTATTTTATCAAAGCCAACCAGGCCTATCGATATAGTTAATTTGGAACATAAGAACCTAATCTATCTACCGATATGGCTCAGACATACGTGCGGTATTGGTAAGTCTCCCTAGTGCATCATGGGATGCTTAAAGACATCAACACGTAGGTCTACACTTAGCGCCTTTACAGTGATTTACAAATATCATTATAAGTCAAACGTACTATACCCTATTTTTATTACGTGTTGACAAAGACTCTAACTCTGGAATGCTTAGGTTAAATATGGCCCTAATAAATTATATAATATAAACAGAATGGGTCTAAATATTAAGTTACTAATGCACACTTGATACAATTTTAAGTTAAATATTTAGAACTAGTCTCATATTTCGTAAAGCCTTAAAATAATAAATTAAGAAATGTTAAAAATTAACTGGCCCATATATCGTACCATTACAGTATTAATACATTAAATTCATGTAAAAATACATTTAACTAAAGTATATATACATTAACTTTAGCCAAATCATTAAAAAAAACGTACATTATATTAATGTATAAATACATTAACCAATGTTTCAGGTTTATTAATTGATGTTTTTAATACATTATATCAATGTATAAATTCATTAATCAAGGTAGATTGTTCATTATTCAATAAATTAATACATTGTATTGATGTGCAAAGTTATAAACGCCTACAGAGTATTAATTATATAGCTTCCCGCTTTACTAGCCAGTGCAAGGGCGTATTTTTTTTGTTCCAGAGCCCACACAGAAAAAATTGAAATTATTATTCTTTTGTGTTTGTGAGTCAAATCAGGTGGTTATTGTGAAAGTAAAAAGCAGATAAATAGAAAAAAAAGGTAAGGAATATCACTTATTAATATAAAAAGTAATATAATATATGAAAATAACACTTTACGTTAAATGAGGCCACTTTTTATCGAAATTATCTTAGATGCTTGTGAAATAATATTATGTTGCTATTGTTTCAGATGCACGAGATGCTACAATTTTTCTGGTAATTCATGGCAATCCAACTGGCAAAATAGTCAAAAAAGATAACACAGAAAAAAACGTGACAACTAAATTTACGATAAAGGATTCACAAGACGCATTTCTGTACCTCTCACCCACTTTGGAGGAGTTCGAGAAGCATC